CCCCAAAACCCCAAAACCCCAAAACCCCAAAACCCCTTATACAATTTGGGAGGCTGAAAAGTAAATTATGGATCCTTCTTTTCATTTCCCTCTTCTTCTGACTCCTGGCTTTCTTCGCTATCTTCATTATCAATATCTGGGTCACTTCCTTCAGCATCAGAGTCAGCGTCTGCATCTGCATCATCATCTTCATCAACTTCTTTCTGTATAGCTTCCCAGATCTTCTCCTTCTTCTGCTCAATGGGATCAGTTGATCTTTGCTTTGGTTCTTCTTCCTCATCTGGAGGTAACTGGTACTGTCCTCTATCATTATATGTCTCTGTGTCTTCTCTCATGGTTGGCATCTCAGGAAGTTCTCTCTCATAAAGCTGGTTTATGATCTCCTGATGCTTGTTCTTCTCCTGCATTAGCTTCAGTGAGATTACTTTTGGAGAGAAAGCAATTGTAATGAACACAATGTAAAGTGTCACAGTTCCTCTAGAGATTAATTCATTAAACGGAAGTAATATTTCAGGACCGTTTCTGGAAGCAAATACTTTAAATTTAGAGAAAAGGATAGAGCACAAGGTGAAAATCATTCAAGCAAGTGTCAGATAGATGAAAAGCTTAGCATTCTTTTTTATGCTATCATTTGATCTGGACCTGAGAGATATAAGAATAATGTAGAAAGAATATCCCATCACAGTCATAGCAAAAGCCCAGAGAATTATTTCATCAACAGAGAAGTCTTCATTATGAGTAGCCATGGCATTCTTATATTCTCTGAATTTGATGGAAGTGGAGGCTGCAAAGATCATAACCCAAGCGAAGAATGTTAATAGAAGCTTTATTCCATAAAATTTGCAAGCACTTTCTCTAAATATCTGCTGAATTGTGAGAGAGTCTAGCAAGAACATTGTGAAATACATCAGTAGAGAAATCAGAGATGCTTGTCAAAGACTATTAAAAATTTCAACAATTGGATAGCCCTGGACTCTATAAAAGAAGAATAAAGGCTCATTAAAGAATAATCACAAAAGAATAATTGCTACTATTTGTGTTTGGACAACGCCTAAATCAGAGTAGCTATATTGTGAAATTCTCCTGAAGAAATATATAGCAGCAAATGCAGTTATCAGGCAGAATACTCCTTTGATGTATCATTCTGATCTGAAATAATTGGGGTTTCTCTTAGTGATTATCAAATCAATATTTTTAAAAGATTTTGATTTCAAATTTGTCTCATTTGTAGTTTCAATAATAGCATTTACGAATTTCCCTGAAAAATAGTTCTGCTGTGCTACAAATATTTTATCGCACTTATTTTTACATCTCTGTAGCTCAAATGGTTTAGTTCTTGATGAAGATTGGTGTCTAAAGATTTTTTTATCCTCTCATTTCTCATTATTGTGGTATGAAAAATCTAATGAAAATGCCAAATTGACAGTATCTTGATATTTTAGTGCTTCTCCTTCGATAGCTTCTAATTCAATCTCAAAAAGAAACACATCTGTATAGTCTGAGTTAAATTCATATCATTTAGTATGCCTGAGATCATCTAAGCTTCATTCTCCTGTACATATATTGGCTCTGCTTTCAACAAACGGTTGTGTGTCATAAAACATATACAGTACTCATGCGATTGGAGCACATATTATAGCAAGGGCTATCCAGAATGAAGGAGACTTGAGTGTCTGCAAAGAAATGAATCCCTTCCTTTCATAAAGCCTGATACCTCCAACACCAAAGATATTATTCTCCATTATTGCTGAAATTCAATTTGTTTTAAATTTGCTGGGGTTTTGGGGTTTTGGGGTTTTGGGGTTTTGGGG